CCCAGGGCCCAGTGTCACCCCTAGGGTGCAGATCATCAGGGAGCAGGGGCCAGGGCTAGAGGCCCCCCTTGTCCTGCAGACATGGGAAGCCAAGGGCAGGGACGGGGCGGGGGGAATGTTGGCGCTAGTCTGGGATATGGGTGGGCCCCTCTGCCCCCTGATCTGCTCCCCAGGTGCTGCTCCCTCCCCTTCCTTGCACCAGTTGCATCTTCAGCCATTTCCCTTTCCCCGCAGGAAACTGCAAGCCGAAACGTGCTCCCTTCTCCTTGAGCCGCCCAGGGACAGGAGTTTCTGGGCCCTTGGGGGCTATCGGCGGCCCCTGGCAATGACCTGCCCTTGGCTTCCTCTAGAGCACCCAGGGAAATTGGGAAGTAGCCCCGGCGTCTCCCCATACCCTGCTGCTCCGCCACAGCCCATTTCTGGGACGGCCCCTGAGATGCTTCGATGCAGCCAAGCTGGTCCCCAAACCCACGCCTCCCTACCTTGCCCAGATTAAGCAGCCGGGAGACCCTGCTCTTGGAGCGTTGCAGCACACTGGATGCCCGGTCGCCCATCTTGGTGGGCCGGGGCACACACTGAGACCGGGTGCAGGGCCGTAGCAAGGCTCCGGCGGCAGGCACCAAGCAGCTGATGGCTAGACGTACTGGCGAGACGTGCCAGCGAGGCAGAAACGAGAACCTGCCCCAATATGGGCCTGAGCGCTTCGCACACTTCCTGTTGGGTTTTTGGGGCGGAAGAGTTGCCTTGGAGACCCAAGTTTCGAGTGATGCGAGCTTAGTTATTTGTTGACATTTTTACACCATCTTGCCACTCGCCGGCTGCAGTTGGGACCACAAAATCCTAACTTTGGTGGCGACGCAGCAGGAGTTGCTCCAGGGAGCAGCAAATCTCCCAGGGAGCTGCTGTGCCGGAGGACATGGCCAGCACTAACCGTCCATCCAAGACGCTTCCCGAAGGAAGGTTTCTCCATCCTGGACAGCCTGGACATGTGCTGCCACATCACTCCTTGCAGGACCACAGGAAAGCTCGTGGTGGGGGGACCGATGCCTGGTGGAGGACCGGCCTGGGTGACAACCGGTGCCATCGCTCTCCTACTACCCCTGCAGGGATTTTGCCCCCAGGGATGTGGTGGCTGCAGACCTCTTGGATGATGTTGCTCAAATACAGATATGCTGCAGCCTTGTTATCCAGCCCTGGGGAATGGGGCTACGAGAGCTGAGCCAAGCTCAGCTTTCCACAACGGAGTAGCAGGGAAGCCTGAAATCGGGTGATTTCAAGGTCCTGCCATCTGGTTCCTGAGAGCGGCGAGGAGGCTCGGATGAGAACAAGAAAAAGCCTCTTCAGTCTCGAGGAGATGGGCCAAGTCTGGCCTGATGCCTGGGCTAAGAGCCAGAGGGATTCCCATGGGCATTAAATCATCCTTTAAAGAGAAACCTGGCTGAGGCGGGGAAGGTGAATCTCCATCCCTTGAGATCTGCAGAACTAGCCTGAATGTTGAAAGCTGGGGTGACGAACCAGGCGAGCAAGCAGAAGCTGAGATTTACTGAAGCCTCGAGACGGTGCGATGTGTCTCCCCATCATAAAAGCCTTTGGACGGGACAGATGGCTCTGAGCACCCGCAGGATTTAGCGGCGCCAGCTCGGGAACAGGCAGCCCTTCCCTGTGGTGGCACTGCAGCAAGGGGAAGAACGAGCCCCAGCAGATGAGACAGGTTTAGGGTTTTGCCTGCCTGTGTTTGTGGGTGAGGAAAACCCCGGACACCAAGCGTTGCCTGAGTTTTGGGCTGTGGGAGCACAGGGCACGCTTCATCAGCAAACAAAAGTGGAGATTTCTTATCACCCTGTGGCCTGTGCTGCAGGCCTTACTTGCAGCGCTGGCTCTGTGCTGAGAGCCCGAGCTGCTATTGATGGGCTTTGGCTGAGCAAGGAGCACTGGGAAAGCAGCAGTAGCGGCCGGGAAGCAGCGCCGGAAAAGGGCGAACAAACCTCCTAGCACAAGCCTGGCTCTGGCTTTGCCATCGCATGGGCCAGCGAGCCCCTTCTCAACCCCGCAGCTTCCTAAAGAGGAGCAGGGGACAAGTCCTCTCCGTCCTGCTCCAGCCAAGGCAGCTCCCAAAACCCATCCCTGCTCTGCTCCCAGCAGGGCTGGCATGGAAAAGTCTCCTCTGGAGGGGGAAGCAGTCCGGAGGAAACCCAGACCTTCTCCGTGCACACGGTTTCCACCCTCAGTGGCTCTGATCCCTCCCTGTCAGCTGTTTCTACGCCACAGCCGGGGTTGCAGCTCGGCTGGCGGGTGAGATTGGCCTTGATGGCGTAGTAAAATAATAAACAGGGTATAAAATTGCCCCCCGCTGTGGGAGGTGTGACTGAGCTCCCCCCTTCCTCTGCCAACACCCAAGTGTCACAACACCCCAAGTCACCGAGAAAGTGGGGATAGAATGATGGGCTCCCACTGAGCACCCCAAGACCCCCTTGGCCAGGGGAGCAGAAAGGGAAGCCCAGGATGGCTGGGTTCTCATCCATGCCACTGGCATGTGAATGCCCTCTGCTTCGCTTGAGACCGGAAAAGCTACCCTCAAGGGTTGGGACGGGGCTACTGGCCAAGGTGGCTCCAGCACCCACTGACACCTTGGTCCCTCTGTTTTCTGGGAGAGATCCACATTGGATCACCCCATCCAGCATGCGCCTTGCCAGCTGCTGCACAGGGCCTGCACAGCCCTGCTCCCCATCCAGAAACAAAACTCCTGTGGTGGCGGCCGTAAAGAGGCGCTTCCCAAGAGCCTGTGGAAAGCTCCAGCTGCCACCTCCGAGCCCCAACTGTCCCGAAATGGCAACCGGACATGGGGGCCACACACCAAGGTGGGTGCGGGATGCTCAGACGCGCGAACCTCCTGGGCCATGTGTGCATGGAACAGGTGCCTGCGCTTTTTGCACAGTCTCTTGCTGCATTTCCCATCTCCCTGCTTTAGGACTGGGGCTGCATTTTTTGCTTTCAGGCTGAGGCCATAGCTGGAAATGAAGCTCGAAATGGGCTGGGGATGGGGGGGAGGGAGCTGCTTGTCTGCTTTAAAACTGGCCAAATAACCCACCAAGCATGTGCCTGTGCCATGCTGCCCTGGGTGCCATGAGCTGGTGGCACGCCTGCCTGTGCGAAGAGACCTCCCCAAAACTGTTTGACTTTGAGGCTATAAGATGGCTGTACAACCTGCTCCATCCTGGGGTGTGGGGGGGGGAATTGCCCACCCTACAGGATTGAGGGGAATGTGGCACCTCTGGGGGGATGTGCTCTGGCACGACGGTCCCATGAGTTGGCAGCCTGGACACCCTGCACCGGGGTAACCCGGGGAGAGCTGCCCCAGGGGGAGCAGGACATGGGACCCGCCCCCGTCCATCATCCTCTCACCCTGTCATGCCCCAGCTGGTCTCTTAAGCATGGTGGGAGAGAGGCTGCGGGGCACCTGCTCCCTGCTCCACCCTTGGGTGCCAGCCTGTGACAGGGGTGCAGCCAGGAGCAAGGAGCAACACCCATGTCCTGCCCACCTGGGGACGGCCCAGGAGTGGCCACCACGGCCAGAAAAGGCCCATTGCTACTTACTGCTGTGGGGCAAGTGGCGGCCTCGGGTTCCGGGGGCTCCAGGTCGCCAACCTGTCTCACCGGGGATGCACCCAGCTCCACCCTGCCTGCAGCGGAGTGCCTGCAGGTCTGGGGTCAGGTGAGCCACCCGCCCTGCTTGAAAGGGGAGGAGTTGGTGCAAGTCACTTTTAACCCCTTTCTGCCTTCGTTTCCTCCTCACGCCGTGCGAATGCGAACAGGGAAGGCCAGTGCCGTTGGCCCTGCACCAGCCACCAATGGGGTGGGGACATTCCTGCCCGAAAGCACCTTGCTTCACTCCGCAGCCAGTGAGGGGGCACCTTTGCGTGCACCCAGGTGACCTCAGACAGAGGGATTCACGCAGCGGAGCCGAGAGTCTGGGGTATAACGGATATTTAAGCCTGGTCTGGCTTCCGTGTTGCAGCTGATCCTTTCCAGCGCCATTTTTCAAGGGGAGCATCTCTCTCTGAGGGACCCATGTCACCTCCATTTGCTCAGAAATGGGTGCTTTTCCTTCACATGGCTCTGGGAAATACCGTCCGGGGTCAGCACGGCTTTGCAACGCACAGCTGAACGGGCCGCTTTGGCAAGGACATGTGGCCTGGCACAGGGCAATCGGCTCTGACCTCACCGGTGCCGGCCCGCACAAGGTTATCACTCATTGGGATATTGCTTCCTGCAAACCAGCCGCCCGTATCAGCATTTCCCAGTGCAGCCAGTGCAAAACCAGCTTCCAGGGGTGCACAACTCCCCAGCTCGAGGACGCAGCTGTGAAGGATAGGATGCACAGGCCACTTGGCAGAGAGCTTGCTGAATGCCTAGGCAAACCCACATCCCACATGGCAGAGGGATGTGCCGCATGTGCACTGTGGCCCTGCTTAGTGACATCTCTGCACCACCATGTCCAGGAGCTCTGCTTTCTCTGTGCAAGCCCCAGCTCCTGGAGTCACGTTATTTTGATGGTGATGCTTAATTAGCCCCAGCTATAGAGCAAACCATGCGGTATGGATTTGAAGCTAAAGGTTAAAGCACCGGCTGCAGACTAAAGTCGTGCTGCTTGAAGCGATGTGAAGGTAATGCGTGGTTTGGAGAGAGGCTGCCTCTCCATCTCCAAAAAGCCAGTGTAGAGAGGTGTGGGCTGCCTGCTGGGGACACCTGGGGTGCCTATGGCTTTTTATTCCTGCAAGGATGGAGGGAGGCTGCTCCGGGAGAAGATGGGGATCTGGGATGTGGATATACCTGGGGGGGCTTCCCACGCCCAGGGACCACACTGCTTCTCACCCTGTTCCCCAGCTGTGTCCTCGCATGGCATGGCCACCCCAAAAACATCTGGCTCGGCCAGCGTTGCCTCACTCCTGGAGCAGCTGGGACAAGCCTTTCCCCAGGCCTGCCCTTGGACTGCTCGAGGCTTTTCCTCTTTTTTTTAAGAGAAATGAGAATTGAAAGTGTTTGCCGAGGATGCAAACGGCTGCTGTGCAGCTGGCTGGGGAACAGCATGCAGCACCCCCAGCAGGGCATTGACCCTCGAGGAGGCCACCTAAGGTTGGGGAAACTGAGGCACGGGCTCAGGGGAGCCCTCAGGGTCACTGCCCAGCAGGGAAACTTCTCACCTGCTGCCAGGATAACTGTGTGCAAACCTGTACAACTAACACCCCAGCCAGCCTGGGGTTCAGCCCGGAGAATAAGTCAGGCATTTCCTGAAGATCAGGTTTGACTCATGAGGCCAGCTCTGCAGGAAGATGGGCAAAGGCCCAGCGGTGCCCGGGGAGTCCTGCAGTGCTGAGTCCTGGGCTACAGACATGGTGCTGTGCTGCAGGGGGGTGGCGAGTCACGGGGCGCAGCGGAAAGTCACTGGGCAACTGTGGCAGACTAACCAAATGACCCAGGTGTCCTGCCCCTCCCACCCCCCCGCCATGCTCTCACCACTGGAGGTGGAAGGGATGGGTGACGTTACCTTACCTGAGCCGTGTGGCTGGACCCCAGCCACCTCCTTGCCATCTCCTTGCTGGTGGTGTAGAGCGTTTCGGAGCGGCTGTTGCCGAGCAGCTGAGGGTGACCAGAGGGGTCCTCGTGCAGCCCCTCAGCAGGGCCACGCGCTGGCTGGGGCTCCAGTGTCACCCGGGCCAGGTCATCCAGGGACTGCGTGGGTCGCACAGGCTCAGTGGGGTGGCAGCTCAGCGATGGGGGGCCGCCGGCTCGCAGAGGGCCCCGGGCGGCCCCGAAGGAACTCAGTGTTGGCGGTGAGTCTCTCCTTGGTGCCGTGCCATGGGGCCGTGTGGCAGGCGCCGGGGGAGC